AAACCTCTTTTTGGCAAGAGACCTTAAACTTTCAGAACTTTAAATTTTTCAGGTAGCAAATCAATTACTTAGCATTTTCTCAAATCAATAATACCTCCACATTCCCAAGGATACACTTCAAACAAAAGACACATCCAAATAGTTCAACCAGCCTCATCCAGACCCCACATCTTGTTTGACTCACTCCTTGGTCTCCAATTAAAAAGAAAGAAAATGACCTACAACCCCAATCTGGTCCCTACATTCCCACCTACATTTTAGAGTTGTTATTCTAACTGCTCCTCAGAGTTCCAGATACTCATGAACTGCTCTCTAAAATATCAGAAACCCTAATAGGTAAAATATAGAAGTTTTGGCATCCCCAAATAACATTACATTTCCTAATATGAATATCTGCATCTCAGCTGATAGTCCTTCAATACCTCCATCTACCAAATGCAAACCTTCACATCATCCCTGACTTTTTTTTGTAATTTCTTTGTAGATTAAGATGTTAAGTATGCGTTATTTTTTCCATCCCCCCACCCCATGATCCCCCTCATTCATATCCCATTTGTTGCCTTTAGACAGAAAACAGGCCAAGGTTTCCCCAATCCTCCCTCCTCAGTCACACCACCATGGCCTTACAAGGTGGCCTTTCAGCCTGTCACTCTCTCCCACCCAGTCACACCATGTGGCACCCTCAAGCAACTCATTGTTCTGGCGCTGAGACCTGGACTGCAGGACTGGACAGGCCCCTACACTCAAGGCTGGAGGGTGAATGAGGTGAGGCCGGGTTGGACTCTGAAAGGAGAATGTAGTTTGGGAGGCACGAAGAAATCAATCACAACCTGTTGTAACTCAACCCGCCTCAGACACAACCTGCACAGCGGGCACTCTGCCTCTGAGGCCTCGTGACCCAGCACTGGAGCCTCTGATTCTGTGAGCACACTGCAAAGGTCAAATTCACCACCAGGAGAAAGACCCTGGAAGTCAAGCTCCAACCAATTATCCAACAGGGATAATGCACCTCTCCTGGGCTTTCATTGGCTAAACCCAGCCTTCCTTAGCGCATGGCCCTTTGGGTAACGTAGCAATCTAGCCTCACATGGGGCACTAGGATCCCCGTCGCTCACTGCCCATTGAGAATATTGTTCTGGGTGTCCAAGTGACACTGGGAACTGACGACTTTATGTTTTAGGGCTGGTCACATGTTACTGGGGAGTGTTGTCTACAAAACAACTCTTGTTTGGAAACATTTCAGATTCCGGAACATTTAGAATGCTTCCTCAGGTGAAAAGTGTTATTTCAATTATTCCTGAAGACCACAAATCTAAGTGGATAAATATATGTAAAAGTATTTTAACTGACTTTTAGAGTGAGAAGGAGACAGATTAGCTGCCTCCTACATGACCCCTAAAGGGATGCAGCCCATTGCCACAGCAGGTTCCCTCAAATAAGAACTGAGCTGGCAAACATTCTGTGCATATGACTAAGCTCAACAAACTGAGCCACTCAAGCCTGGCTATCTTTTTTTTTTTTTTAAACATGAAAATATGACATTAGTAAGAGAAAAAGCAGGCTATGAGAGAATACACATAATCTTATCTTATTCTACTCATTTAAAAAGAAAAATTAAAAGGATACATAGGCTGACACATTGACATTTCCTACATTGTCTGCATGTGTGTTCAGCACACAATGTGAAGCTAAGCAGCTAACAGTTACAGAATGCTTTACTACAGAAGCCAGGCCCTGGATTCAATGCTTTACCTTCGTTATTGTCTCACTTAATCCTCTCTGCAACCTGAAATGGTTCAAACATCTATTTAATCGGGAGGAAATCCAGGCTCAGAGAGTTAATATAAAGTTAATATTGTAGAGTTAATAAAGGCAGGGCTGGAAGTCAAACCCAGGTGTCTCCAACAACAGAGCTCTGGCTTCTGTTAGGCTCTGCTGCCACCTAGAGGGTGGAATAGGGGATGCATTCCCATTAGGACAGGCTAGATATTATTGTGGGCACTGAGCAGCCCCAAAGCTTTAGTGCAGTGTTTCCCAAACTTCTCTCATGATGAGAATCACCTGGTGGAGTTGTTAAAACACAGATTTCTGAATCCCAACTAAGAAGTGCTAAACTAGAATTTTTGAGAACATATAGGTAAAATTGCATACCTTAGTGCTCTGTATATAAAATGTCTTAGAGCACTAGTTAAGTATACAATTTTACCTATATGTTCCCAAAAATTCTAGTTTAGCACTTCTTAGTTGGGATTCAGGAATCTGTGTTTTAACAACTCCACCAGGTGATTCTCATCATGAGAGAAGTTTGGGAAACACTGCTTTAGTGGCTGAGAGTAAAGAAGGCCTCTCTCTTGTTCATAGCACATGAACACCCTGGTTCTCCTGGAATCAGGATAAAAGAGCAGCCATCATGTAGGTTACTGCTGGGTGTTATCAGAGAGGGACAGAGAGGGCTGCCCGTCTCACTGGTTGCAAACAATCCTGTTAGATGTGACAGATTTGACTCCCATCACATTTCCTTGGTCAAAGCTTATCACTGGCTGCAGCCATCATCAGGGTCAGTAGCTTGAACTACTTGATGGGCCCCAGTAAGTCGACCTCATGTGCCATTCTCTTTTGGGGGACTGTGCAGGGGCAACGGAGTGAAGTGGGGATTGGTAGATGACAGTGAAAATCAGTCAGGATGATTTGCTTTCTCCTCCTCCAGAGACTTTGGTGTCTCCCCGCGCCCCCCCCCCCCCCCAGCTGCCCAAAACCCAGTATTTATCTGAGTGAGCTTCAATAAAGGAGTTTGGTCTCATGTCATTGGCAGAACCCACTTCTGAGTGTGACCCTGGGTAAACGCCTGCTGCCTCACTTCCTTCAAAGCAGAAACCACTTGTTAAACGAGCAGCTTGGGAAGAGGACAGGACTGAATGCATCCCAGCACTTATATTAAATTCACATCAGCCACGACCATGCCTCCAAGCCTCTGTGTCATTTGCATTGCCCACGTGAGTGCTCCATCAGGTGGGGCTGATTGGGAAAATGTTGACATAAACATCCATGGTGATCCTGTGGTCTCCATTCCTTCTGTGCATGAACCTGTGCCAAATGAGGTCCCTTCATGTTTTCCAAATCCACACTGCAGACGGCACTGAGCGGATTCTGCCTCCTGGCCCCGGTGTTACCAGGTGACCATGAACACTCAGTAGATGACCAATTGGAGGGTCGGGAGTGATGGTCCAAGCAGCCCAGTCACCTTCCTCTATTAGGTGTCAGCCGAGATTTCCCTCAGAGAAGGGGGTGACCTGCTCTCCAGGAATTAGGAACCCAAAGGACCCCCAGCCCTCTCCAGGGGCATCCAGTTCATTTGCAAAGGGGACTCAGGAGCCCAGGAACCTTCTCCCTCTGCTTTCCCTCATATGCACACACCCATTTATTCTTTTCCAGGAAATCAGGATCCTCCCATCATCCTCAAAGGCCTAGATTCCTCCCAAAACAGCACCTCCACACTCCACAAAACAATTTTCCCTCAGGATTCAAAACCAATGGTTCCATACAGGAAAGGAGTCACTGAGGAATGAGGGGAAATTTAAGCAGATGTCTTATATGCTGCACAGGCCTCCTTCAGTTAAAATAATAAATGTAAACAATTTGCAGAAGATTCTCAGCAGACATTTAAACAAAGCAGATAAATACAGTGCAAAGAAATGTCTAAAAATGTACAAAATGTATAAAAATGAACATAAAAATGTTCACCATTAAAAATTCCTCAGTACATGGAATTAAAACAAAAGCAAGTTAACATTATATGCATTTCCAGGGTTACTATTTGAAAAGGTTAACCATTGTATGTCCTTGCAGGGTAGCAGAAAAATTGGAATTTTTATATAATGTGGGTTAGAGGTAAGGCAAAGGGAATGACCATTTTGGATCACAGTTCTGTATATCTTAAATGTAAAACATTCACCTACACAACAGTTTGATAAGTATCACATGTGTCTATATAAAGAACTCAATGTAAATATTCCCAGATTTATTTATAATACCACAATCCTGGAAATACCAAAAAACATAGATTAATAAAGTGGTTATTCACAGAACACAGTACTACTGATCAATAAAAAAATTACAAAAAATTCAGCCATGACCGGGTTGGGTCAGTGGATAGAGCATTGGCCTGCAGACTGAAAGGTCTCAGGTTCTATTCCAGTCAAGGGCATGTACCTTGGTTGCAGGCACATTCCCAGTAGGGAGTGTGCAGGCGGCAGCTGATTGATATTTCCCTCTCATCGATGCTTCTAACTCACTCTCTCCCTTCCTCTGTGTAGTAAAATAAATAAATTATATTTAAAAAACAACTATGAACAGTATGAACTATTCTATTATAAAGAATGGGAAATCTGCCGAAACCAGTTTGGCTCAGTGGATAGAGCGTCGGCCTGCGGACTAAAATGTCCTGGGTTCGATTCCGATCAAGGGCATGTACCTTGGTTGCAGGCACATCCCCAGTAGAGGGTGTGCAAGAGACAGCTGATCGATGATTCTCTCTCATCGATGTTTCTAACTCTCTATCCCTCTCTCTTTCTCTCTGTAAAAAAAATCAATAAAATATATTAAAAAAAGAAAAGAATGGGAAATCCCTGAGGGCATGGAGGACTGAGAAAAGCGGAAAAGAGATTATAACAGGGCGTAGGAAAAGAGAGGGTGTGGCAAAGGAAAGTAGAGAGTTGTTGGTATGGAAAATAATACAATAATTAATAATAAACAGGAATAAACTCTGCCCAGGCCAGTGTCTTCAGTTGGTTGGGTGTCATCCCATTCACTGACAGACAGATCTCTGGTTTAATTCCAGGTGAGTGAACATCCCCAAATAATTTCCCGTTGTGGTGTGCAGGAGGCAGCCGATCTATGTTTGCCTCTCTCTTCAAGTCTTTCTCTCTCTCCCCCCAAAAAAGAATAAAATTTTCTAAAACATTTTTTTTCAAAAAGAATAACCTCGGAATTTTCCAGACATACAACTGTAAGCCTATTATTGACCCACCTTGTGTATGAGTTACAGGTGATTTATGTCACATGTGACAGATTCACAGCTTTACCTCTAGGTCAGGGCTCACCAAATAGCACACATAAGAAAGGTGCACTTTGGCCGGGACCGGTTTGGCTCAATGGATAGAGCGTCGGCTTGGGGACTGAAGGTCCCGGGTTCGATTCCGGTCAAGGGCATGTACCTTGGTTTCGGGCATATCCCCAGTAGGGGGTGTGCAAGAGGCAGCTGGTCGATGATTCTCTCTCATCGATGTTTCTAACTCTCTATCTCTCTCCCTTCCTCTCTGTACAAAAATCAATAAAATATATTAAAAAAAGAAAAAAAAGAAAAAAAAAGAAATGGAGTTAAAAAAAAAAAAAAAAGAAAGGTGCACTTTGTTGGACATCAATTCTCATTTCCAGGGGGAACAGCCTTGCCTCAGTGGCAGCAAGTGTTTTCAAGTAGGGAAGGTTATTGCCATTGGAATCAACAGGAATGCTAACTGGTTACAAAAGACACATCCTAGGGCTGATTACAGGATTATCCATCCTCTAGCTTTGAGGTCTTGCCTGTTGAGCAACAACCTTGAGGTGACCTCCCTAGGGCACCAGGGGGATTCACTCAATCATGAGATTATTGTCTCTGCTAGTGACTTCAGTTACAGGAAATAGTGGTGAAGGTCCTAAGAATGTCTTCAAAGATCAAACAGGCCACAAGTTACAAATAATTTAGACTTCAGCACAGAAGAGGCACTTTTCATCTACTTTAACTGCAGTGTCTGTTATGACTATAAAACCAGTGTCTCTATCCCAATACGAATTCCACCTCAGAGTCTTACAACAAATGACACCAGCCTATGAAATGAAATCTCACACATCATGACACATGGCCTCTTTGGAGCACATGGAGAGTAGTTCCCCTAAAAATTGCTGACACTTATGTAATACATACTGTGAATAGAGTATATAACTCATATTGTTCACAGGAGAATAAAGGCTGTCTGTTCAGGGTGAACATTGATCTCTACAATAAGAGACACTGAACAGCACATGGGAACCACAAAGTCATGCACACTTTCTCTCAAGGCCTTGGTTGGCAATACAAAATCAGCCAAAATTGAACAAAGAGTGATTTTCTGCCATCAAGCTGTGCCTTCCAAAGTACAGAAAGTCCGGGACCCTACCATATCTGTTCACCTGTCCAGGATGACAGATCATAATTTTTCTTTCAATCATCCCAGGGAGAGAAAAGAACCAAGAAAATTAAAGTACAAAAGAAAAAAACACCTTTACATAAATATCATAAACCAGAGCAGAAGACAGAGGAGGTTTGCAGGTTGATGCATATGAACCTGAAACACTTCATCATGGCCTAATATGAGACCCACAATGTCCAGGAAAAAGGTAGCACTTCTTAGTAGAAGTGGGCTCTGGGCAAAAGCAGAGTCAGGTCAATTCTCTAGTCAGAAATAAAGGAATGAAGATTCATCCATGAGCTTAGAAATATTCATAATTTTCTGAAGCACAACCCCGGATTATGCAGGGGTTGTGACGGATGCACACTCTTCAGATGACCCAGGTGGTAGGAGTGAAAAAGGTTCCACACAAATACTAGCAGTGACATCAATCAGGTTGTAGGCCTGAGTAGGTTAGCAAGTATGATGCAGTTTCTGAAAGTATCACTTATACCTGAAACTTAGAAGGTATCTAGCAGAGTGTATGTTCTGATAAAGGGGTTTCCATTCAGGTAAAAGCTTCTCCTCTGGTTGTGCTCTTCTGAGTGAGAAAGTAAAACATTCCCTGCACATTTAAAGCTTTTCTTCAGCGTGAACTCTCATGTGTTGAATGAGGGCATATTTGTAGCGAAAAGATTTTCCACATTCACTGCACCCATAAGGTTTTTCTCCAGTGTGAACTCTCTGGTGAATAAGGAGGTGACTGTTGTGCCTATAAGATTTTCCACATTCACTACACTCATAAGGTTTTTCACCAGTGTGAACTCTGTGGTGTGGAATGAGGTGAGCCTTCTGTCTGAAAAACTTCCCGCAGTCACTACACTCATATGGTTTTTCTCCAGTGTGAACTCTCTGGTGGATAAGTAGATAACTGTAGTGCCCGAAAGATTTCCCACATTCACTACACTCATAAGGTGTTCCTGTAGTGTGAACTGTGAGGTGCTGAATGAGGTTAGAGCTCTGACGGAAGCACTTCCCACAGTCACTGCACTCATATGGTTTTTCTCCAGTGTGAACTCTGCTGTGTTGCACGAGATTAGAGCTTCTGCTGAAGGACTTCCCACAGTCACTGCACGCATGTGGCTTTTCTCCAGTGTGGACTCTGCTATGTTGGATGAGAGTAGAGTTACTGCTGAAGGACTTCCCACAGTCACTACATTGATAAGGCTTTTCTCCAGTGTGAACTCTCTTATGATTAAGGAGGTGACTGTTGCGCCTAAACGATTTCCCACATTCACTACACTCATAAGGTTTTTCTCCGGTGTGAATTCTGTGGTGTTTAGTGAGGGAAGATCTTACATGGAAGGTCTTCCCACATTCTGTACACTCATAAGGTTTTTCCCCGGTGTGAACTCTGCTATGTTCGATGAGAGTAGAGTTACTGCTGAAGGACTTCCCACAGGCACTACATTGATAAGGCTTTTCTCCAGTATGAACTCTCTGGTGGATGAGGAGGTAACTCTTCCGCCTAAAAGATTTTCCACATTCACTACACTCATAAGGTTTTTCTCCAGTGTGAAGTCTGCGGTGTTTAATGAGGGTAGCACTTTCACTGAAGCACTTGCCACAGTCACTACATTGATGTGTCTTTTCTCCAGTATGAACTCCGCTATGTTGGATGAGAGTAGAGTTACTGCTGTAGGACTTCCCAAAGTCACTACACTGATATGGCATTTCTCCAGTGTGAATTCTCTTGTGCTTAACAAGGTGACTATTGCTTCTAAATGATTTCCCACATTCACTACACTCATATGGATTTTCTCCAGTGTGAATTCTCTGGTGGATATGGAGGTTACTATTGTTACTAAAAGATTTCCCACATTCACTGCACTGGTAAGGTTTTTCTCCAGTGTGAACTCTGTGGTGTATAGTGAGGGAAGACCTGTGATTGAACAGCTTCCCACAATCAGTACACTCATAGGACTTTTCTCCAGTGTGAACTCTCTTATGTCTATTGAGATTTGAGATAGATCTGAAAACTTTCCCACATGTATTACACTTATGTTTCCCTTCTCCAGAGCTGACGCCCCGATGTTGAACAAGATTCTGGTTATGGCTAGAAGCTTTGTCACATTCATCCCACTGGTGATGCCTTTTTCTATTGAGAAATTCCTGTGAAATCTCACTGCCACTGTGTGGCTCCTCACGGTCAAGAGGGGTCTGGTGCTGCACAAGCTCTGAGATGGCTGCAAAGTGTTCCCCAACCTCCCTACTGGTTGAAGGCAGCTCTGATAAGGAGAAGCTGAAGCTGGTCAAAAACAAGGTCCTGTCCACAGCTTCCTTCCATGGCTTCTCTCCACTGGCATCTCTGTGTTGCTGGGCAGGGTTGTCATTGAAACAGAAGTCTCTCACACATGCGTCACTGAAGACTGCTTTCTGCTCAAAGTCTGCTGTTTGTGACTCAGTCAGGTGCAGACTATCTTTTAACACAGAGAAACACCTCCCACAGAGAGGGGTCCTCTGGGTTGCTGAAGCTGTCTTAGAAGCACTATCCTGTGACTCCCCTTGCACAGATTCACTCTGCTCAGAACAGGCCTCAACATCATTCGTTTTATGCCCACAACCTGAAAACAGAAAAATGGTGACGAAATAAATGTTGACTGTGGTGACTGGGAGAAGTATCATTACAACAGTGTATCACTCATAACACGTTTGTTCCATGCAATTGTCTGACAGTGAAATATCTGTAGGAAATATTGATAAATACTGCTGTGAAGTTCTGGGCCTCTGAAGATCACCATACAGGGGAGATCTCATACAAAATATGAAACAAAAATGGCAACCACCACATGGAACAGAAGCTGAATAATCTGTTCATGTGTCTGCTAACAGTGTTCAACAGGGCTTATCTGCTGGTGACCTGGGCCAGCTGTGCAGAAGGTTGCCTACATCTTATTCCACATAAAATTCAAGAAATGAGAAGCTGTGTTGGGAATCTACTGAAGCAAGTTATGCACACCTCATTACACATACGCAGATCAATATTTGAGACTACAGATAGAACAGGTAATGGAGAAAAGGCAAAAAGGTGAAGGTAGCCAGAAACAAGGAAGTCACAGATTAAAAGATAAATCAGGGAAGTGTCAAGCATGGGGATGAAAAGGTAGAAGTATGAGCAGTAGCCAGGGGCACCTGAACCTAAACATATGAGCACTTTCCTGGTATGATTTAAACACCACCCTTATGTCATACCTCCCCCCAACTCAAGTGGGCCAGCCAACCCTTTAGATCATCCTGCATGTTCACTCTGTGAGCAAACAGGGTTCTCCTTGCACCCTGTAGTGTACAAGCACATAGAACAAAAATATTCTGACTTTAAGTGAAGGACAACAGAGATGACTAGCCAGGACTGGCCCAGAGCAAGACAGCAAGCAATAGTATTCAGGGAACAGAATATTACAAACAATGGAAGGAGGTCTTTATAAAGAACCGCCCAAGATTCATACAAGTGAAGACCATAACCAGGCACAGTCAGTCATAAGGAGCCTGTAGCTGGAGGAATGGGGCAGAAGAGGAAGCGATGGATGTGGTCATAGACAACCTCCCAGAGAGAGAAAGTGCAAGCTGGGCCCATTAAGCTGTTTGCAACAATCCTGACCCCCAGACACTTCCTGCCCTATCTGAGACTATGGGTATGAGGTATATTCATGAAGTCCTTTGTTCTGGGATCCCCACACACTCAGCACTCTCAGGCACAGCACATTTGACAGGATGATGGGATAAAATAGGAAAGCCCATTTCTGGGAGAGAGAAAGCTGTTTTGAGAATAAAGTTAGAGAGGGTCTCATCTCAGGACATTGGGACAATGTGAAGTTCTTACCTGCAGATGAGACGAGTGCAAACACTTCCAGCATCACCTCGCAGTACAGAAGTCTCTGAGCCTCATCAAGGAGCCCCCACTCCTCCTGGGAGAAGGCAATGGCCATGTCCTCAAAGTCCATATTCTGTGGTAACGGGGACAGTTCAGTCCATGATGAGCTTCTCTGCTAGGATTTTATGTTCATCATCCTCCCCAACATCCACATCCATCTGCTCTCTCCACCCCCCACATCAAAAAAGCACCTAGGACTTGGTCCCATCAAAGTCACTTTCTCCTTACATTCATTCCTACTGATACTGTGTCTTCTCGCAACAATAGGGGTAGATGATAATATAGATACCTGTGCTCTGAGACTCACATGTAGGCCACACTGCCCCTTTTCAATACAGTGAGTATCATGAACATAGGGAAGGGGGAGATGGTGTCCATAATAAAGGCATGAATGATTTGACACTGTTCTAGTCAGACATTACCCTTGTCCTCCAGATTCTCATTTCAAGACCCCAATAATTATGGCATCACTCTTCAATCTTTTTTTTTTTTTTAATATACTTTATTGATTT